TATATATATATATATGTGTGTGTATACACTCCTCACACACACATACACACACACCTGACGCGTCTGCACGCGCATTTCTCTAATACAACATCATCTCATGTTGAGCAACTGAGATTCGGTGTCACACACGGAGAAGTCCTGACGGTATTTTCGTTTCGCCACTTTACGATTCCGTACGCCCTTAGCCGTAAGAACTTTGTATTCGCCCTCGGAGATATTGTTAAGTACGAGTTGCACGTGCGTTGCCGACGATTGAGTCTCCTCGCTCTTCACCGGCGAGCAGATTATCCTGCGAGTCGTCGTCTGAGAGTCGCGGGATGCTCAATTCACGTCGAACGGCCTTCTTAAGCCACATTGCAGACAGAGCGTCCCTCTTTCTTCCTGTTTTTCTTTCTTTCTCCCAGCAAGCGATCGCCCATTTCTTTTTTTTTTTTATTCTCGTTCTTGTTCTCCATCGCAAATCCGTGATGTCGTTCCGCATCTTCCTTGGAGATGTATAGTACAGTACGATATCTCAATATAATCCCCCGAGATGTGCATTTATCATCGATTTGTACTCTATGACGCTATATATAAAAAATTTCTTCCATATAACATTACTTGCCAATGTCGCTTTTGTCGTTTTAACTCTTATATCGGTATATATACAATATACACACTTGGAACAACACACACACACACACACACAGAGTCGTTTGTAAGCCATTGGCATTTTGTTGCCGAAGGAAGACGTTTGATATTTTCTATTGATACTTTGAAAAACTGTACATTTATACAGAACATGTACACGTGAGCGTTCGCAAGAGCGCGTTCATTACATACTGTAAACTACAAGACCTTTTTGAATAAATTATATTTATGTACAAAACGAACGAGTACAGTTGTCTACTTCATTCAGTCTCTGTTCTCTGATTCTAATCCTTGCTTCAACGTTTCTATAGGTCGGCACTGCTAACGGCAGTTTGGATAGAAAGCCAGTAACAGAATCTAAGACTGAGCCGAGCAAGGCGGAGTGTACGTACAGAGATAGTTACGAGCGGTCTAGTAAGCGTAAAGCGAATTTCCGTATCGCGCAGGAATTCGCGCGTCTGAATAAAGAGAGCTCCAGCGAGGAGGAGGACGATCAATACGAGTTCGCTCGTATTAAGAAAAAGAGGATCCAGCCCGACGACGACAAGTCGAGCAATGCAGCGGATCGTGCGAATCAGCAACGAATCGGCAGGCACGAAGCGGCGGTCGCACGTCAGCAGCACTCCCGCAACGACGGCAACGGTAATGCGCACATCGACGACGAAAACGGCAGATCACCACGCAGGGGGAAAGTCGAAGACGAGGAGAACGAGAGGCAGTCGCCCGTGTTGAGCGTGCACCCGAAGAGAGCGATACCTTCCACCCCGAGAGCGCGTCCGGGTCTCTCCAGGATCCGTAGAGGAAACGCCACGTCGAAGTTGCAACACACTCTCAAGAACGAAGAACGGGACCAAAAGAAGGACGTGTTGATGGACGAGGACATCCGTCTCCAGCTGGACGGCGGCGAGGAGGTGGCGGCAATCCTACGAAAGGACACAGAGACTCGGCCGTCGAAGGAAGCAAAGTCCCAGGAGAAACAACAACGACTGCTGTCCAGCACTGCGTTGAGGGAGGCGTGCAAGGAAAGGGAGAAGCAGGGCGGCAACAAGAAGGCGGATCTCCAACGGAAGAACGAGGACAAGATACGCGGGATAGAGAACAAAGGCATGAGCTGGGAACGTAGTCTGCTGGACGACGACGAGATAGATCAAGTGAGTATCTATAGTATTAATAACATAGTGCCAATTGTGCGAGTTGCCAAGCTTTGAAAATCGTACATTTCATAAACAGCACGCGGTAACGTATCTCTATCTGAATTTTTACAATCCTTGCAACATAAGAGACGATGCGATAAAATTCACACAAAAGTATAAATAATAATTCAGGCTTTCTCTTCGGAATCATTAAAAGTCTCGGTCGATCATCGAGGAAAGGGTGAATCCACCCGATCGGTTAGCAACGTGTTAGTTGTTATTTGAAACTTGTCTCGAGTGAGAGATACTTAGATTTGAATTTAGAGTCAGACGTTCAATTGTGTGTGTGTGTGTGTGTGTGTGTGAATCATGATTGCAAATGTTATGTCATGCGTATAGTTCAGCCTAAAAGATTTAGGTCGAAATTCCGATCCGAATATCTCACATGAGACAAGTAACGATTGTTAATACCTCGGCCTCGGTTGATTCGAATATCGGATTCCGTTTCACGCATCGCCACGCTGCCGTTATTCTTCTTTCACTGCTCATTATTCAAGGCAATTCTCTTCTTCTCTGCTCGTAGGAGCTCGCCGCCGCACAGAACGGGAACCAGCCCGACAAAGTCACCGATTCAACGAACAACATCAACTGTCCCATATGCAATAAGCCGTTTCCGCCTAACGAGATAGAGAATCACGCCGCCGACTGCAATCAGTTCGAAACGAATGATCTGGAGGACATTGATGATATAGAATTGTTGAAGTGTAATATATGCCACAATTACACGACGACCAACGGAGTGGAGTACGAGCTGCATGTTAGGCAATGTATAGATATCAGAAAGGACAAGAGGCTTTTGCACGGTACGTTCTGTAACAGCTTCATTATCTTAATTGCCGGTCCTTAATGTTGAAAATACGAAAATCTGCAAGCATGGGTGTGCTTTTTTACGTAAGATTGTGTAGAATTGTGTGTAGGGAGTGCGGAGGATCTGTAAGAGGATTCCCACATCGGGAAATTAGATATTTGACGAATTTGCAGAAACTCGAATAATCTTCTCGATGTAGCGTCCATGAGCGTATCCTCGTGTTTCGTTTCTACCTGCTAGTGTTTGGTTTTATGCTTGTATCCGATCTTTTTCAGGATCAGACGATGTTGACATCGTACCTATCCCCTCGTCTCACCGCACTTACAAGCCAAGCGGGCAGAAAGTCGCGAGCAGCAGTCCCGAGATAGATTTTATGGACCAGTCGCCTTCTCACAGTAGAACACGAGTATTTACAAACAGAAAGAGGAAGCATTGATCGAGCGATCGATTCGCGCTTTTTGTTACACGAGAATCTTATTCTCCGGACGTGTACACTTTCTCTTTGATTTCACTCGTTGAGGACGAAAAAAGACAGCATTTCTATCGGGATATTTGGAGTATTGTTGCGTAACATTGCTGATAACCGGTGCATGTTTCATCTTGCATGTTAACATTCCGTGCCTATGTCACGATATCGCGTATGCATATTCCTCGGCGCGGATCATACTTTCCGACAATGGTATTTTATTTCTTATGTAAAAGAAACACACCGTTTCTGGAGGTTTCGTTTAATTTCTCGTAAATGATACTCGTGATATTACTTATAATAAACCTGAATCCTGAGGAGATACGAATATCATTGTTTTGATAATATTAAGCATGTTATTAAGAATTAACTGCAACTGTGGCAGAACTAATATTCTGCTAATTTTAAATAGTCCCAGGGATTATATAAGAGATTGCAAGGAGGAGAAATATCGTATATCAAATATTACACAAGTATATATATATATATATATATATATATATATATATA